GAATATTAAATTCACTTGGATGTGAAACTGACGTGAACTACGATATTCACGCCATTAGTTACTATATTAGCGCTGAGTGGAAAATCTCTTTCAAAATTGGTCTTGTATTACTGTAAATCTTTATTATGCGGACTTAACTGTTGCACTYCGGAGACCCTACAGCTTAGTGTTTGCGTATAAATACTCAAATACGCTATATATCATGGTATTTTACTTAATCTTTTGTAAGGACTTATGCGTGCGCATGCGTGCACAGTGGACGGAGCGAAAAACTCGAAGTGTCCCACATTGAAGATAACACGCTCATCTTGCCATATAAAAAGCATGTCTTTATATCATGTGTAGCAGCTTGGCCAAAGCTAGGGGTTATCATGTGCGCGACGGCGTGTGAATGGTCTTGGGGCYGGTAATTCYCTCCCATGCAACCAAGCAAGYCACCGTGAGTTCCTTGATAAACAAAGACCTTCATAGGCGCCCCGACGTTCAAGGAGGCCCGTACGCTAGTACTCGCTTTGCAGGAAAGTCGTGATTTCAGCTGTAGGTAGAGGCTAGTATAAACGTACGTGGCGTGGTCTAGGGGACCCTTTTGGTTCGAAGAGCTTGATTTGATTGTGTTTTTTATTTATTTTTAGCGATCTCTTTTACGCTGTATTAAGCCGCGGCTACACGAGCGATTTCTTGCTTGCGCAGGTGACGCGATTTTCTCAAAATCACCAGCGCACGATGTGACTATACGAGCCTCAATGCTGTATCGACAAAAACATCATAATCATAAATAAAGCTCAAATTCGATGTTTAGCTTTCACCGCACCTAAAAATCGGGTCGTCTGCGCAAGGGAAAAATTGTTTGTGTAGCCGCGGCTTTCACTCTCAAAACAATTCAATAAATTATTTTATCAMGAATAGGACGTGCAAATGCAAGAGATGCCSTGAGTACTGAAAGACAATAGAAAAAGTTTGAAATGTCACGAGTTATCTAATTTTCTGAATTTTTCGCACTCAATTTATTGCGGTTAACACACTATAAAACACAGCGCGAAACAATATAGATCAGACACTTTTACATGTAGCTYTTAGAGGGACAAGGTAACATAAAACTCAAAACTAGCAGCWTGCTTGCAGGAAAAAAACCTTTGGATAAGTATCTAAAAAAACCTTCTAAATGGTATTGCTTGGCACACCTATGCTCCATTTTTACTATTTTTGACATGCAGTACTTATACATTATGAAGCAAGACAATGCAATTACTTGAGCTCAACTGCCATGTTGATTGAGACTGCACAATGTCTTTAGTAAGATCTTCAAAATAGTTAATATTCTGCAAAGGTGCTTTACAGTCAACATGTTTTGAATTATTCTAGACTTTTCATTCAATTTCCTGTTCTGCATTTTTTCGTTTTGTCGAATTTCTCAGGACACTAGATTCTCAATATTCAATTTCAACACTTAATAGCATCCCCTTGTTTGAAATTAAAAGATCTTGCAGACAATAATATATTTTTTTCAAATTTGATTTAGAGTGATTTTAGGTTTGACTCTCTGATTTGCAAACATAGCAGCTACCAACTACAAAGACACAAAATCTGAAAATTCTGTATCCTTGCCTCCCTACCATTCAGGAATTGCCTAGGAAACCYATTATTAATTTGTTCCAACCAGATGATGTCAAAAATGTATTTATAGATATGCATGTKTTTATAGATATGCATGCATTTATTGAATAAAATCAAATTCTAAAACTTGAGCAATACAGATGAGATGTAGAGTACTSGTAGTTTTAAATAAACTAATCCCATGAAAAGATGACTTATGAATCTTAATCTCGCTAAATCCATTGAATCTGTTGTGACTATTGGACTATTTTAGAGTGGATGCACTATGAAATATTAAACAAGTTATTTTTTTTATCTAAAACTTGAGTGATATAGATAAGATATAGAGTACTCACTGGTGGTTTTGAATAAACTAATCCCACGAAAAGATGACTTATGGATCTTAATCATTAAATCCATTGAATTTGTTGTGACTATTGGACTATTTTAGAGTGGAATGCAGTATGCAAATATTACTTTAAACAGCTAGTAAAATAGTGTCATCATTCAGAATACAAAAKAATTTTTCATTCTATTTTTGTTTTGCAGATTTACATGCATGTACTCTACACCTTGACTATTAGATTCATATAGTTTCAAGAACTTTTTATAACATTCAGCTAATCATCTGTCAAAAAAAAAATAATAATAATTAAGAGACACAGGTTGAATAAAATATCAATACAAATATAACAAACATGATGTAAATATACACTACTTATAAGGGGTCAGGTTTATTTTCTTATCAAGTGACCAGTACAAAGCTCTTAAATCAACATCACAATGGCATCATCTGATATACTTATATAATGTRTACTGTTAGAAGGCCAGCATGATACATTTTAACTGACATAAGCATTATTAACATAAACATTATTTAACTAACATTAAATAGTCAAAATCTTGAAATGTTGGAGTTTCTAAATCTATAGAAAAAAACATGCAGAATATAAATTGGGTCAGTGATAAAAAACCTGAGCTCTCATTAAGTTTGAGTTTTTATCCTTTATRCAATATGAACTCTCATTTTTTTTACATGCTATCTAAAAAAATAGAAAATAGCATTTTTCTAGAATAATGTTTCTAGTATATTTATTTAAAAACAAACAGAGTACAGTTAGCAAATTGAAACACAGTAAAATAAGAAACCTTATGTTAAAATATATACTATTATTGGTAGAATATCATATGTTCAGTATAAACTATATAATAGTGTAACACAATATAATTAGTATAGGCTTAACATTATGGTTTACATGGAAATTAAGCCATATGCCAYATTTAGCATTGCATCTTGCGAGGAAGAGGACATACAACCAGGACATTTTCATTGTCAATAATCTGATAAGCTGGTACAAACTTTGAATGAATTCTTTGTAATGGCAAGAAATCTGCAGGGCCTTCGATCTCATAATGTTCTTTGCACCACACTTGAACTGGTGCACCCAAAAAGTCCTTTCTATGGTGTTGTTTGTACCATTTAACCTCTGCCAATATGCAAGTTTCATACTGACCATTAACTTCAACATTCTGTCGGATAAAGTGTTGTATGATGCCTGGTCGAAGATGTAGACCAGAGGAGTCTATTCTTGCATTAAGACCACACCATGATGCCAAGATATATGCTGATCTACAATGCCTTGATTTGCAGGAACCAAAYAWTTCTCCAGCAACATTTACACTTGAAAGTATTTCACAACAAGCAGTCACAGATTCCTCATTTACATCAATTAAGAAAGAGCTGTATGCTGCTTTCAGATGTGAGAGAGAGTTCATAGAAATAGCAGTCTTGAATATGGGTGGCAAACATGTTATAAAGTCTATCTGGTCTGAAATTATCCARAACAGTCCTTTCCTCACTGGGCCAATGGACAGAAGACTTTGTCTAATAATTAAATCTGATGAGCTCTTACAATTTAAAGTGTTCACAGTCCCTATGGCACTTGACTTCATTTTGTTTAAAATAGGGACAAAAATGTCACTATAAACAGTAGGAAGTGGTATTGCCTTGACAAACTGTTCTGATAAAAATTTTCTCATTATTTGTATTTCAATGGATCGCTGGTTTGTAGAATATTCCCCTAATATTCCATTATACCTTTCAAAGCTAAAAAGCCAAAAGGAATAAACAGGACCATAGTCCAAAATGCATTGCAAAATGTGGGTATGCAAATGCATGTTAGGTGTAACCTTGGTACAGCCATACAGTTCTTGAAATCCTTTGCAGAATGACATGAGGTGCTCATTTCCAAGTCGAGCTTTAGTGTGAGTTATTATTGGGGTGCACAAAATACTACAGGCTAAAACAAAACGGCGCCATACTTCCAAATCTTGTTCGGGCAGAATGTCCCATAATGCAAATATAGAGTAAATGATTGTCCAGGCTTTCCACTGGTCAGCAGTGAAAYCCCCATAACTATTGATAATTTTCTTGGGTAAGCGACCAACACTTGACGGAACTGTAATCTTGTCTATTTTTTTCTGTATTTGCTCGAGTTTCTTTTTTTCTATAACTGGTGAAGAATCATCAAGCCATAYATTTTTCATCATATGTTTTGCMGTTCCAGTAAAAAGGTTGTGCATAGGATCAATTATGTGAAACCTTACACAATCAAAATATGGCAACATCATTAATTCTGTGAATCTAGTGCCATATTCTTTCTCTTTAGAAGCTTTGTCTGTAGCAGTGGTTTGATTCAAAATATCCTGTGCTTGTTGGCGATGTTCTTCATTAGTTCTTGGAGAGCAGGGATCAAAACCAGAAAAGTCCATCCTGTCAGAAACATTACCAGTGAACGTTTTTTTACATTTAGAACAACCCTGGCATGATGCATGTCCCGTAAAACCACATACTTTTCTAGCTGCAGGGACGTCACATCCAACACATAAAAGTGCTGCRCGTATTGTTAAAATATCATCAGTATCAGCTGTTTTAAATTGTATACCTTGCCAAAGGGTGTTAAGTTCTGCAACAAGTGGTTTTAAGTAAGTGTTGATTGTCAGTCTGGGTTCATGTGGACCAGSTATAACTCCTACCAAGATAATATTTTCAGGTTTRAACCTCAACTCTCGTGGCAGATTCATRAAAACCATGTATAAAGCTCCAACACTGTACAGCGAGTGTTTAAATGGCTGGAACCAATCAACATTTAACATAAATGCATAATTATGTGGAGCTGCTAAGAATGGTTGACCATCTACATATAAAAAATCTTTCCAGACTTTTCCATCAAAAATATCTGCCAAAAATCCTTCAGGGACATTTCTGTTTCTCCATTGTTCACAATTAGATATGAAATTTGTCTTTGACAGCAACCTTTTTAAATTATCAATTACATTATTGTAACAAAACACCTTCAAAGGGTACAATCTTTTTTTTCCATTCTTCAATACTACCTCCTTTAAAAGAGGTTCATTGCACACTGTTCGTC